TCGTAATTCTTGAAAGATTCTTAAAATCTCTTTTACCATTTCTCTAATTTCTCTTTTGCGATATAAAAGCCGCGATAAAAATCGCGTTTATCACCCATATTGTATTTCCGGCGCGTGCAACTATTATGCAAAATAATGGTATGCAGTGTAATGCCAAGAGTCCGCAGGGATTACGATGTAAGTTAACCGCGAGTTACGTAATGAGCAACTTATAACTGAGCAGCTCTTTAAACTCAATAAGAGGGAAACAATGAGCCATTAAGTATCGCTTGTACAATTACCGATAGTTAGACCGCGATAAGTGATATTCAGCGGCTTTTATCACACCAACGTGATTAAAGGATCATCAACTATGTTCGCATTGCTTCATTTTATGTTCTAAAGAACCTGCAAATTAATCTCACTTAACGAGCTATTTGAACTCGCTATTTCATCAACCACAACCGATAATCGATGATCTATTTCTTTCTGACAAAATTAAGATAATTTATAAATAGTATAATAGCATTGTTTTTAAGGCAACGATTAATCTGTAACAATAACAAGATTATTATTCTCCTTAATATCCATAATATTTTTCTTTTTAATTGAAAAGTTCTTCGAACTCGTGTAAAAAGATTCCTATAAATTTTAATAGTTCTAATAGTTTTTCTTGCTTCTTAATAATTTTAATAATTATCTGTATTATCCTGTTAACTTTATTGCTTCTTCTATGACGATAAATAAGCGAAACTAAAACGGAACGAGTTAATGACCGTGATGATTGTGAATCATTAGTCGGATTATCGATCGTTCGCAAAAAAATTGAGAATAACCGAGTAATTTGAACGAGATTGATCTTGCGTTTCTTCGATGCACGCATCTTCTCGAGGTCAGATTAAGAAATCGAACTTCGGGCACGTCTGGCCGGTGGCCGGTATCTGAGAAAGGAGAGATCGCAAGGTGCGTTGCGCAACCGTTCCCGGATAATTTATACCACTCACGGTTAACAAATACCACGCACCGTATAGCTTTGTGTGAGCAGCGCGCGAGTTATTTTGCACTCTCTCTATGGTATGCGAACTATAAATTGCCGAATAAACGTTGCATTCACTATGTTGATCCTTTCAATCGCGCTTATTGCTTTCATATACTAATTGTAAGACTTATTCACGCTACCGCGATCCTTAGATACCGAGATAGTATCACGGACAATCAATTCCCATTATATCTGTAATCGATACGGTGTGTTAAAAATGATAATTTGCTTGTTTGAAATTATTTTAACGAAATTATTTTAGAACGGCACAATCTTACATCTCTTAAGATCAATTATTTACTTAAGTATAATTTATTTACGGTATACACAATTAATTTTATGATGTAAATTAAACGCTATTACTTTATATTCCATTTGCTTTTTTTTAACAAAGATTGTTAATAAATCTTAATTTATGTTGTGTGAATTATATTAATGTTACAAATCTTTACACTAATGTTATAAATCTTTACTTATATACTAACAATCTCGTAGAAAGGTCTCCCTTGTACAGAGAATTGAACCGTCTCTTATAGAGAAAAATGATTGTGCAAAGGTGCATGAAATAAAAACTACGATCATAGAGAGATAATGTTGCTAAACAATATTTATTATAACTGAATCAAACTATCTGAGAGAAAATCATGCGGATATATGTAGAATGCGGATATAGTTTAAGCAATCGAATGCTTTCTACTAACGGAAATAACATGAATGAAAAAGGAAAAAGAGTGCTACTTATTTAATTAGACTTCAATATATAAATGTCAATTAAGAAAGTATAAATTTATAAAATTATACGGTAGAGATGAAATTAGTAATTATAGCAATATATGCACTTCTATATGAATATATTAATTGATTGAGTTAGAAGCTAGATGCAATTAAGATATAGCAAAGAAATGTTTTTCTGTTAAATTAAATAAAACATTCCAAATAATTGAGAATGACGACAAGTCAATATTTAAAAATAAAATCCCCCCAGAAATAACAAATAGATGGGGCAACAACTTTTGACAGCCTAAACTATTGCTAAATAAAAATTAGAAGGAGCATGGAAGTCATTGAGAAGAGTAATCTTGTTCTAATCTATTTTTCTATTAAAATATCTTTGAGAGATATATACATATAGTTCGTTAAAGATATTAAGAAATGTTTGCAACCGTCAGTATTTGTTCGGATATTATGCAATTCAAGGTCGTTGAGTGGCCTCAGAATTCCTTGACCAACGAAATTCTTGGCAGTTTCATTGAGAAGATTAAAAGGCCAGATCGCCGAGTACCTTTCTTTTTTGGCAGCATCAGTATTTTTATCTTTTGTTCACAGTCCGCTATTCATGTTTTTTTTATAAAGATTGCATTTACTGTTACCAAACTGATAATTACAGCCGCAATTAGCGTCAATTCGGCAATGTAAATGTGGATTTGCTTGCGAACATAATTTGACGAAGGAAAGTGAATCAAACAACGTACATGTATTCCTCTTATTTTTCTCTACCGTAAATAATTGGTACTAGAATATTTTCCATAATTGTGAGCGCACTTTAATGTGCAATATGATGCATTACGTCGATGCATCGGGGCTTCGGATGGTAATTTCAAAATTGCATCATTAGCGTCCTACATTTAATTCGGGAGTGAAAGCATGTTGACCGACTTATACGCAATGAAGAATTTCCAATGATGCTGGGGGTCTCGTAACAATTATGTAACGAAACGCTCGAATTATCGCATAAGTTATACATCTGGCTCGTCACAAAGACATTACACCTCGGAATATTATCCAATTAACATTATCAATGCTTCCTAAGCAGAAAAATGTACAAATGTCAATCGCTCAATGTTAATCGTAGATAGCTTCGGGTAATGATTTTCAGACATATTTATGTGTAATAATATTTATTAATTTTCAGACATATTTATGTGTGTAATAATTATTATTGACATAGTGAACAAAACATTATGACGCTTATTTAAATGCATTTTGATTATAACTGATATGATAAATTATCGGTTTTTATCGAGATGTAATTTGTCACAAAAAATATTGACGTCATTTACTAGTAATACGCATCATGGCATCTCATGTCAACACGAATTATCTAATTATTACATAAACTTCTGGGAAGTGATCTAAGATCAAAATCATGAAGTTCTCCAAAAGTTGTAGTTACGACACACATATACACACACATATATCCATTTATATGACATATGTATAAGTGCAAGTAAAATCAAAGATTAATCGCTGCCAAAAATATTAATTTTTGAATACAAAATTAATTTATTATTTCATGCAAATCTCTTTGTTTTAAGTAGCAATTAAAGATAATATATGTAAGTTTTTATCTACACTTCTCGTTTAAAGTCTTCTAAGGATTTACAAATTCTCAACAAATAACAAGGACTACCAGTTTGGTAGCAAAGAGTCTTGCTTAATCTTGAATCTAAGATCCTAAGCTATCGCTATGGAAAGTGTGTTTCGTAATATATTTTCCAGGTTATTTACGCACTATTCTACGAACTAAGCGTTTCTACTTTGTATTAATAATTTATTCAGCATGAATATAAAATTGTATTATATGTATATAACATACATGTATACATACCACATATACACACACACACATACAACATTTCAATTAAAATATTTTTTGATATCTAATTATATTATGGCAATTTCATAAGCACAAATTTTGCCACATATAGTGCACGATAAAGTAAATAATAAATTTATCATTTTATTTTAATAATTTTTGTATGTTCGAAATTTTTACAACAATATGTTTCTCTGGGAAGTGTTTCCAATAATTATAGAATATGAATTACTCAATGCACGCATATTCTCGATACTCGGCACTAATTTTCAAATGTAGGTCAATGCTTGCTCTATGAAAAGTAGTGGATAGTTATATGTATATAATGTCGACAACCTCCCAATAAAAAAAAAAATTGTTTGCGCAAACGCGCATTAAGTATGCATATATTTAATACTGTATGTTTTAATACTTGTACTATTAACTCTCATGTCAACACGAATTATCTAATTATTACATAAACTTCTGGGAAGTGATCTAAGATCAAAATCATGAAGTTCTCCAAAAGTTGTAGTTACGACACACATATACACACACATATATCCATTTATATGACATATGTATAAGTGCAAGTAAAATCAAAGATTAATCGCTGCCAAAAATATTAATTTTTGAATACAAAATTAATTTATTATTTCATGCAAATCTCTTTGTTTTAAGTAGCAATTAAAGATAATATATGTAAGTTTTTATCTACACTTCTCGTTTAAAGTCTTCTAAGGATTTACAAATTCTCAACAAATAACAAGGACTACCAGTTTGGTAGCAAAGAGTCTTGCTTAATCTTGAATCTAAGATCCTAAGCTATCGCTATGGAAAGTGTGTTTCGTAATATATTTTCCAGGTTATTTACGCACTATTCTACGAACTAAGCGTTTCTACTTTGTATTAATAATTTATTCAGCATGAATATAAAATTGTATTATATGTATATAACATACATGTATACATACCACATATACACACACACACATACAACATTTCAATTAAAATATTTTTTGATATCTAATTATATTATGGCAATTTCATAAGCACAAATTTTGCCACATATAGTGCACGATAAAGTAAATAATAAATTTATCATTTTATTTTAATAATTTTTGTATGTTCGAAATTTTTACAACAATATGTTTCTCTGGGAAGTGTTTCCAATAATTATAGAATATGAATTACTCAATGCACGCATATTCTCGATACTCGGCACTAATTTTCAAATGTAGGTCAATGCTTGCTCTATGAAAAGTAGTGGATAGTTATATGTATATAATGTCGACAACCTCCCAATAAAAAAAAAATTGTTTGCGCAAACGCGCATTAAGTATGCATATATTTAATACTGTATGTTTTAATACTTGTACTATTAACTTACTGTTATTATTTTTGCAGGTAGGATAGCAGCAATCTGCCTAGGTCTCCTTGCACTTATAATCGGCATAGTGCTCAGTAGCATACCGTGGGTTGATTACCTTATTTTAAGAGTAAGTATGAAACACTTTGAATATACATATTTTGCGTTCGATACATTTAATAAATATGTAATATAGTTATCGCGAGATCTTTAAAATATTGTATCTTGTATGCTCTTTTATTTTTATATATTATTAAAATAATATAAATAAAATTATCTATGAACATATAATAAGATGCCATTTATATACTGTCAATGTATTTTACAAATTAATATATATCTATAATTTTAGATAGAAATGAATGTATCAGTTAATAATAAATATAAATGTAATTTATAAAATGTAATTTATAGGGGAGCAAACCATAGAATCATGTATAATGGTAATTTGATCTCATTAATTGTAATTGACACGATTGAAAACATTTAGGTGATATGTTTAGGCGACAAAATTAAGATTGTCGCACAAGCAATACATCATCAATGAGTCATGTGTAATCATTTCTTTGACGGGTTCTTGCCTTTCGATTTCGTTTTACTTTCAAATCCCGTGAAGACTGAGATTATATGAGTGTATTTGGACAAAGTATGTCTCACGCAATGAATAATTAATATTTTTTATGGCCCATACTTGCCGTAGAGTAATTTGCATTCGCAGTAAATAACTTCGCGAGTCTCTTTTATCATCTAAGGTCAGCTTAACGTACGCGGAATAGACTGTCTGCAAATAATTTATGATTGTCAATCATGAATTGAATATATTATTATATGTGCAATCTTTATTAATAACGTTACTTGCACAACTTAAATTGCAAATCATCTGATACGATTACATATAAATTATTTTTGAGAAATATCAATTCATTAATTTTATTGTATTGTTATCAATCTTTATCACATATTAATTAAATATTTTGAAGCCAATGTTATTATTGTAATTATATTGTAATTATGTATTGTATTTATAATTGTTAGTAGAAAAGGAGAAATTGATTCTGCTACACAAACTCTACATGATTTCTTTATGATAATGCTATTTCGTGACTTGTAGCTCTTTAATTATTCGCAATTATATTAATTCTCATAAAAATAATTTACAGTTGCTTTAAAGTTGTTGCTCGCTACAATTACTACAAGTTTTTGCAACATAAGTAGAAATTTATTTCCGTCATTTTTTCTTTCCGCGACGTTTCCTTTTTATCTAAAAGAAAAACGAAAACATTTTTTCACAAAAAGAGTATAAAAGAGAATCTTGAAACTTTTCAATGTTTAAGAATCCACTTTCATCTATTTAGAATGAGCTCCTATTAACTCGTTTTACTATACTTCTTTCATTTTAATTTCCTCGGAAATTATCTGAATCATTAATGCGCAAGATAGACACTCAAAGTATGTGTAGCAATCTAATCATGTAATCTAATAATGCTTCCCGAAAGTATATGTGACCTCTTTCCTTACAATGAATTCAACACAATAAATAACATTGCGCTATCAATTATCTAATTTAAAAAACTAATTATGAAAAGCAATTTTATTATTTTATTTTTTTCAAGATGATTAACGAATCGTTTCATAAAAACCTTACGATAAATTACCCGAAATGAAATACGAACGTGCACGTATACAGATCGCAGTTTTAACTTAAGAGAAACCGCCGGTACAACACGCTGGTAATAATATCGACAATTTATCGTGTTTTTCCAGCAACTGCGACTATGGAACGGCTCGCTCTCCTTTCAATATTGGCAAAAGCCAGGCGTAGCTCGATTAACCAAAGTCTACATATTTAATGTAACCAACACGGAGAACTTCCTGCAGTTTAACGAGAAGCCAAAGCTCCAGGAAATCGGCCCATTCGTTTATCGGTAAATATACGCTTACTCGTATTGCAAATTTGCATGATCATAAAATTAGCACTAAAATATATTTTTCTACGAACAATTATTTTAGGTATCTTCGTGTTTACTTAGTTACTGTAGTTTCTTAATACTTTCCCAAAGCGCTTGTTAGTATGCAAACCGGCCGAACGATGCTTCATTCGGGTTGCGTATCTGTCTGGGCTAAGCTTTGTTAGACAGCACGACGATCACTTCGCAATCGATATAATAAATGTGCATCTTTTTGCAGAGAGGATATGGAAAAGGTTAACATCGTATTTCACAATAACGGAACCGTCAGTTATCAGCATAAGAAAATTCTGAACTTTGTACCTGAAATGTCTAAAGACGGAAATATCAAATTGATGGTGCCGAATATACCTTTGCTAGTGAGTTTATAGCACATACGAACTAATTTTATACTAATATTGTACAAACTAATATATGTATATATTATTAAAATGTATAAAGAAAATTTATGTGATTCATCTTCTTTTTTTATTCTCGATAAGAAATCAAAGATATATGTAAACGAGTATTTTTCTTTTCTCTGCAGACACTTTCGACGCAAAGCAAGAGCCTTCCACATATCATCACAATGGGATTATCAATTTTCTTGAGCGGGATGCATATGAAACCCTTCGTTCCTGTGACGGCGCAGGAACTCGTCTTTGGGTATGACGATCCACTAGTTAGTCTCGGATATCGATTTCTTCCCAAAACAAGACGGCCCATGAGCAGAATGGGCCTTCTTATCGGAGTAAGTGCCAGGCAATAATTATTACATTATCATAATTTAGTTTCCGCGCTATATATTTTTATAAAAAATAATTATTTTATATTTTTTACTCGTGCAAGCTAATATATATTCTTTATAATCAAACTCCAGAGAAACGGCACATTGAGCGAAATATCCACAATATTTACCGGACATACAGATATGAAAGAGTTTGGTTTGATAAATCGATTGAACGGGCTTGATCATTTGCCGTATTGGCCGACGGCACCTTGTAATTCCATTACAGCTTCGGAAGGTAAGTTTCTTTGCGCATCAAAAAAATATACACACAGCTACATACAACTTATTAAATTCGCTTTGATGATACGAGTTTTCGTCTCAATGAAATGTTGAGTTGACATATTTTGTCACAACTAAATTTTAAATAATCTTTGAACAGGATCCTTCTTTCCGCCGCGGGATCAGACCGGTGCTGATATCATTCACGTGTGGGACAAGGATCTCTGCAGAACATTGCCGTTGCAATATCGCGGACCGGTAGAAAAAACTGGTATCAAGGCGGATTTATATACCCCGCCAGATGTAGTTTTCGGTCAACCGAACGAGACTACGGAGAATGAGTGCTTTTGCTCCGACGGCATCAACAATTGTCCCCTGCAAGGCTTGCAAGACATTAGCCCGTGCCAGTACAGTGAGTGTTTCAGTGAAAAGTATTTCGAAAAGTTAACGAAGCTCTTGGGTGCGCGATAAAACAAAGGCGATAAAAGATGAAATTTATGCAACTTGCATTTTCTTACTTCAGGTGCGCCAGTTTACCTCTCGTTTCCACACTTTTACAAAGCCGATCCTAAATTGTTAGATGCCATTGACGGACTCAACCCGATGGAAAAGCTACACGAAACATACTTCAAAATTCAACCGGTAAGTAAAACATGAAGAAAATTCTTAAAAATTTGTTCATATCGACAACAAATTCGTATCAATTTACATATCAAGCTTAGACTAAACGTGAGAATAAATAGTAGCATATATTAAAATAGAACGCCTCATATATCTTTGATATTCGAATCACTTGAAAAATCATGATTTTTAGGATCTGAGATATAATTTGGATTTGAAATACTCTTATTTTTGCTTTTAGAAACTCGGTGTGCCGGTCGAAGTTAAAGTTCGCGTCCAGTTGAATCTAAAAGTAGAGCAACAACATAATATTGCGGTGGTCTCGAATTTCTCTGACATAGTTTTCCCTATCATGTGGCTCGAGGAGGGCATAGAAGAGCTTACGCCGCCCATCAGACGATGGATCTATCTTGCGACCACGTTCGCCGACATCGCTGTACCCTGCATCACATACGGTATGATTCTAGTCGGATTGACGATAATCATTACAGTGTTCGTGAAGATTTACAAGAGTCCAGTGTTGGCGCACGAGGCAATCGAGCTCGGCAAGAGGACTATCAGGAGGGGCTCGTCCTTTCTGATAACCGGCCAGCATCGTTTGTTGGCCGGTCGAGACTCTTATATCTTATTGAACAACGATGACTTCGACGAGAACCAGGGCGTGATAGAGGTCTGATGGACATGCTGTTCTGTGCATGAATTTTAATGTTTGCTGATGCTGTATAAATAAGTGTACGCATTAATTATAGTGATCGTCACGTAAGCGATAATTAATGACGCTTAGTCCCGATTCTTCGTAAATTAATTTAATTGTGACATTCATAAAAGATTTATTAAATAGTGATGGTATATGCTGAAAGTAATTAGAGAATCGCGATTTTAGATAGCAGAATTTAAGAATCTCACAGGAATTAAGATAACTAGAATCTAAGGCGTTTAAAAATTTAACTCATCTATGTCTCAAGGTATGATTTAGGATCCAAAAAATTTAAATAATCTACGATTCAATTAACTTGGATTTTGATTAACATATGATTTAAGGTGTTTATAAAGTTCGAAGAATATAGGAATTATAAAGTCTTACATGACATAAGGAGATCTTCATCGAGACTTTAATTGTCAATAAAATGTATATGCTAAGAGCTCTTATACGACTCTTTCATAAAACTTGCCGAAAGGCTACGAGTCTTTTAATTAATCTAGGATTGTATTTGATTTTTTTTATTATTTCACCAAATATAACCGTAAACTGCACACACAGTTAGTGTGTATAACTAGATTGTAATTAAGATTTAAGAAATCTCGGCATTAATTCTTAGGCTTAGGATTCTCGAAGCCACATATCATCTAAATTGGATTTAACAATCCAAGTATTAAAATTTTTAAAGATTTTTTTCCAAGGGTTGATTGTGCAAGAATTATGGTGCATGTATATATATTTCATCAATTAAATGATAACCGATTTATTTCTTGTCAAAAAAAGAATCGAGCTAATAATTAAATCTAGGCGTCATTAATTAATAATAATATCGTTGCTAAAAAAATGTTGGTTAAGTACCTGCGATACGGTATGTGACGTAATGTAAAATGCATCTTCTTTGACTGCGTACACCAAAGTCTCACTGTTGATGGATAACTAATTAACTATAACTATATGCGGAGCCAAATTGGTATTTGTATATTCATTTCACGTGAAGAAAGGCTTCCTTTTATTTTACGCGAATTTTTATTCGGACGAAATCCGCGGAACAGTTTTTATTTGTTTAAATGGAATCGAAATTCGCCAAAGAATCCTTCACGATCTTTCACAATGCGTGAAAGTAAACCGATACGACCATTATAATATTCGTATAGCTATAACAAAATGTAATATGTATTAGCGTTTTCCTTATTAGTTATGGAAGAAAACTTTTGGGATCCAAGGGACGTTTGTGTAATTAATCAGGGATTACCTGATAACCTTCGCGAGAGATCCCTAGATTATATTGAATATATTATTATGTCTGTGATTCCATTCTTATTTATATGTAATATGCAATTTGCGTTTGAATGGAGAGCAACGAGGAGAAGCTTCATTGGCAATTACGCGAATGGACGAAACTTTTACTTGTGCCGATCGTGGCAAGATCGCGCGTGACGATGCTTCTTCTCAACGTGTCCCACTCGTACTCGGCCATAATCTAGTGCAATATTAGTGATCGTATGTGTTAAGTAAACCATTGCCAGCAATCGTGCGGCGAAATAATGTCGAACTATAATAGAAGTAAGGTCAGTTGCACCGATCAATTTTAGCGCTACATATTATTACGCAAATCTAAATATCAGGTTAACGATTTGGAACCCGGCTCCAGTTCTATAGAAGAACATTGGAAAGACACCAATTTAGTTTAATCATGATTACTGTTAATCGATATCGGTGCGTTATATGAGTTAAATACGGCTTGACGGTTAATCAAATGAATGATACATTGAAAATGTAATATAATTATGTGTATCGGTTTTAAGTATTTTTAATATATCCCAAGAATGTGTGAAAAAACATTAGAGGGTAAGCTTGTTCTAGCACGAACGGAATTTTCTAACCGAAATTTAATAAAATAACTTTATCCAAATATCACTGTACATTTTTCACATTCAATTGTCACTCACCTACTCTTCATCCTCTATAACTATTAGATTTATCCTTTCTTCTGAAATTTATATTAAAAACGGAATCAATTTCTATATGTAACTTATATTTAGAGTGCTTAAATACAGTCAGTGAATTATTGCTCTTATTTAAACTTTTCGTCGCCGTAACGAGAAATAGAAATTGATGCAATATATAATGCAGGAGAAATCTAAACTAATTCTATTGTATAAATATGGTTGAATGTTAAATCGAGTTGTTGATTATTGAAGAAGATATTTCCGGTTCCACACGTATTGGTCCCAGCGACGAAAATTTATCATAAGTATTTTATAAAAAATATAATGGATTATGTTTCTTTCTTCGAATTCTTCTCGATCACAGAACAGTGCATGTTTTTGACTGAAAAGTAAAAAAAAATTTATATTTGATATAATTTTTATAATTGATTTTTTTATATAAAATTAAGATTATATGGGAAAAGAGGTTTATCTCCTCTATAAAATATATACCTAATACATTTATCAGCGTACCTTAGCTTTTGGATTCGCTGCGCTGCTCGTTTTATTTCCATTCTCTATCTCTTGTCTCTTTCCTTTAAACAACTTTGCCACCTTAGCTAGAAGGCAATAATCGATTGTATAATATATTCGCGAGTTTAAATATTCTATTTAAATTAATATCTGATTTTTCTCTTGAATATTAGAAATACTATTTCGCAGAATAAATTCTAATCGATACTTTTGATTGACCTACTCTTATTTTTTGCGAGAAGTAAGGAGGAGACTAAAAAACGCTTGTTTCACCAACCTGTTCGCGGTGCCGGAGATTGTACCACATCAGCATCGTCTTGTGCGCCATCCGTCTGCACTTTCTCTGATTCTTCACCATGTACTTCCTCCTTGACCTTTTTTATCGTATTTTCAATAGTCCCCACAATCTTCTCAGTAATAGTTTCTGAAATTGCCGATTTCGATTTTCCAAGCGACTTTGGGCTTGAATCTGCGGGTTCGTCATTCGTCTTCATCTCTTCCTCGCCTTTTTCCTTTTCGTGCTTATCCTTTTTGTGTTCGTCCTTTTCGTGCTCATCCTTTTCGTGCTCATCCTTTTCGTGCTCATTCTTTTCGCGTTCATCCTTTCTGTGTTCATCTTTTTCGCGTTCATCCTTTTCGCGTTCATCCTTTTCATGCTCATCCTTTTTGTGCTCGTCCTTTTCGTGCTTATCTTTTTCGGGTTCATCCTTCTTGCACTCATCCTTTTCGTGCTCATTCTTCTCGTGCTCATTCTTTTTGCTCTCTTGTGAGGGATCGTTCTCGTTACTCGAATTTTCGATACTTCCGGATTTTAGTCTCGGTGGTTTCGGCGGTGGTGTGGGATTCGTTAACGTTTCTTGTTTCTTTTCTTCGTGTGTCCTCGAAGCTGCTGCTTCTGTGCATGACTCCTCGGCATCTTTCGCCGCTGTCGCTGTCATTTCCACGTTTTTATTATTTTTCTGTCTTTCATTATTTTCCTGTACATTATCTTTACTTTCATTATCTGTTTTGTCTTCAGTATTTTCGCCATTCTGCGCGTTTTCTTCGTTCTTTGACTCATCTTCCTTGTCAGTCGGTTGTGATTCTTCGACTTTGGCATTTGTATTTGGAGTATGAACCTTTTTTTTTTGATTTTCCGATGGACTAGTTTTTGAAGGACTTTTTGATTTCTTAGGACTTACGATTTTTTCGTTGCTTGTCAAAGACGAAATTTTTTCCTTATTGACAATATCCGAATTTTCCTTTGACGAATCTTTTGAAGACTTCGTTTCAGTATTATTATGTTTTGGTGTTTCATTGATTTTGTTGACATGATGTGAATCATCTTTCTCATGTGTCGATTTTTCCGTAGCTCCGTCCGCTCGATGTTCATTATGTACATTTACAGGAAGCTTTAAAGGAGGTAGAGAACTTTTGTTCTGCGTGGCTGACTCCTGAAATTAACGAACAGCTCATAAACAATTTATATTAACTTAACTTAAAAATTAATTAATAATAAATTTAATTTAAAAGATTAATAGTTTTGTTAGAAATTTATATGGGATATAGTTGCATTTACAGTGGAATCCAATTGCGATTGAGAATCCATCTCATGTCTTCGACCAACCAATATCGTATGACATCCTCCGCATGCGACCTATAAAGTAAGAAAACAATTAGAATTGAATAAAAACACGATAAATATTCATTTAAGCAAAACAAGCAAAGTTACATTCGTGATGAAGAGTTCTTGATATTTGGCAGCAAATGTTACTTCGTGAACATTATTCTCATTTTCCTCCAGTCCTAATTTACCATGTCGCCCGTCACCACAAGTGAAGAGTTTGCCGAGTTCTATTAGTAATAATTAATACGATTGTTAATAACATTATTTAAAGATTTAGGGGGATGCAATAGTAGAATTTTAATTACCAGTAAGTATAGCGCTGTGACTTTCACCGCAAGCAATCTTGACGATTTTTTCATTTCGAAGAGACCCGCGTGCAAGATGCTTTGGCATATGTATTTCGTTAACGTTTGTGCCCATTCCAAGCTGCCCACTAGCATTACTGCCGGAGCAGTAAATGTTGCCATTTTCTAACAATTTAAACAATTACTCAGCAATTTGCAGATCCTTAACTATTGTCGTATTTTAGAGAGTTAAAATAAAATATAGATAGGTGATAAGAATGTGTTAATTCTTCTATTCGAAAATTTACAAATATGTGTCAAAGTATTGGAAATATATCGGTGTCAAAATCTATTGATCTCAACCTGCTAACACGAGTGTGTGATGACCGCCGCAGACGACATGAACTGCCGGCGCCGGTAACTGCATCTGCTTCGGTGCAACTTGCGTAGAGAAGTTGACATCGATCCCAAGTTTACCGCTTTCCGATTCACCGCAAACATAAACGAGACCGCTTTCTGGAAATAAACTGTGTGATGACTGAATTGCACACACGCTAATATATTTTACAACTTCTCGTGTTCGTGCGAATCGTTCTAAGCGCGCTGCAGCGGAAGCGATTTTATCTCGCGAAAAGTATGTTTCAGAATCCTTGAACAAATTCTTGGAACGGGATTTTAGGGTTATTGGATCAACATGTCTTAATAGATTTAAGTTTTTTTCTTTTTTTTGATACTAAAAGCGTGAAAATATAAAATATATATATATGTTATTTCGTGGAAAATATAAACATGTTCTTGTCTATTTTTCACTTCAAGGCTATTATATGACTTATTACTTTACGTAGGAATAAAATCATTGATTACCGGTCAAAAAAGCTGAATGATAATATCCCGCGCTGATTTCTTTCACCGATTCAGGAATAGGAACCTTTGTAGGCTTGTTAACAAGGCCCGAAACCCCCGGTAACCCTAACTGTCCTTCCAGATTACTTCCCCAAGCGACAACTCCTCCGTCGCTGGTCAGAACAATCGAATGATGCGATCCTGCTGCAATTTGGACGATCCTGGGTCCAGCGAGTCCGCAATCGTAGATCAAGATTGGAGAACTAGAGCTATCACCTATCGCAGAATTTTCCCGACCCAGTTGACCTTCTTGATTACTGCCGCACGCAAAGATTTTTTGGGCTCCTGAAGAAAAAAAAACATTTCAAGATATAAAGCGTATAAATGTTCCATGTGATTTAATTATGAATTAAAATTGTATTTTTCTGTTTTTAGCAAACTGATAAAAAATAATTTAGCTTTTAAATTAACGAGAAATTAATTAAGTTGATAAAATCTACTGTGAATACATTTTCACAAATTATTTGCCCGAAGCGGTTTTAATCTGTTGACAAATTAACATCTCGCACTCCTATCTGGAAAGTTAGCAAAGTGACGTGCCATTTAGGAGTCCTTATCATATTGATTCCTTCAAACGAGAATAAGTTTGAAGTTGAATGACTTGGCAAATATTCGTCGAAGTTCGTGAACACGCAAAGCCAAATATAGAAACGGCATGCTCACTTAATACCTCGTGTCTATTAATGACAACTGTATACATATTTACATATAAAAGAAATATTTCAAATATTGCGCATTACATTTATATTATTTCGTCAAGCTAATTTTTCATTTCTCACAATTTACAAAACAAATTATTAAAACAAATGACATAGTCAATTTAGGTATATGTAATCGAGAGAAAGCACGCTTGAGATATTTGTATATGCATTATTCGTCGTTGCTCACCTGTACATATTAGAGTGTGCGCTTTCCGCATGCGACGTGTGTGACTTTTTCTGGTTTCAAGACTATAACAGATGGGATTTTCATTAAAATCATGAGCAGCACTTAATTAAACGAACGATTTCGCAAGATATTATTAGCAAATTTTCAGAAACTATATTTAATGATTTGTCGACGCAAAAATAATATGTGTATAGCGACATTTAAGTGCATAAAATGTAATAGTTTTATTTATATTTGCTACATTACGATAAAATAATTACAAACTTTTTACACACGAAGGCTTGCTGATGTGATTCTTGTGACCCAGACCCAGTTGGCCCCAATCGTTACTGCCAAAGACGAAAAGTCTGCCGCTCTCTGGAATAAAAAGCAAGCAAAGGCGTTCCAAGCAAGCATGAAAGATACGTTCGGTAAATTATAATTCCGCAGAAACTATTCCTTAAAAATTGATATCTTTACTTATATAATATGGAGAATATTCAAGGCATCTAAAAGCATTTTGAAATATAATTTACTAGCAATAAACATGGTTACGTAAGTTTAATTACTATACTAAAAATGACGATAAAGATAGCTATTAATTTTATGCAAAAGTAAAATACAGTCTGAGATCTTCAGAAAAAATGTCGAAAAATTTGTAGAAATTCCATAAACATATTTACAAAATCCTAACATTTTAATGATATTTAAATTAATAATTAAAAAACAAGTAAAACAAAATTTGCAAATGGAAGAAATGGATGAGATATTAATGTTAGCGAGCAGCTGCGATGATAGTAATAATATAGTAATCATGATCTATAATTGCTTTTTTTATTTTACTAGTGTAACATTTTTGGTATAAAAAGTAATAACGCAATAAATTTTTTCGAGACGCGTTGAGCTAATAACGCCAACAATGTCGGCTAGACTGAGCATTGCGTGTTCAATATCGATTTACTGGACAGTGGATATTCCTATGTTAGCATAGCTCTGACTATATATATTCCTTACGTTGCATGCTACAGAAGCTGTAAATCATATGAACCCGAATTATATATCTTCATATTATAGTCTGTAAATTTTATAGCATAGCAATCAAAATTCAAGACTTTGAAACGTGCCTTATCGATGAAAATTATACTGTATAATGTAAATATCCGAGCAAGAACAAAACAATATTTTACAAATAAGTTCATAGAAGATAAAAAGAAAGATAGCTCTTTCTGACAGAAATAATTTTGTTGATTAAAGTTATTTTTTTGTAAACATTGCTCATCATGAATATGCGATTTACTGCCAACTTTACAATTCACGACATTGATTAATGATATGCGTCAATTCTTTTTTTTATATCTCGACAATTTAAGCTAGATGCTAGATCTTATCTTAAAATTAGTTCAAATTAATCTAAGCCAATAATCTCGCTGTTATTTCAATATTTCAAGCTGAATCTGAATTTAATTTTATGGGATAAAAATATACTATAATACCCATAATTCTTGATGATTTAATTATGTCCAATCTGAACCAAATTTAGATCTAATCTGGACTCGTGCATTGATGAGTACTTTCTTAAATTGAATCAGTGAAAATATCACTGATTAAAACAATGACATGATTTCACCGAATTATATTGTTTTTCAGTGAAAACACTCACACTTTGCTCCTTCCTTTTATGTTTCACTGATTAAGGCGGTAAGATTTCGTATAACTAATATGCATATTATACCTTTTTACTCTTAAGATATGATGATAAGCTCACAAAAAATGAACAAGGCTCTTGATCAAACGCAGATATTTCTTTAACAAAATATGTTGCTATGAAAATTTACTTCATAATATTATAATATAAGACGCGTTTTAAAATTGATTAAAACAGCCACTACCACTAACTGATTTTTTTCAGTACGATTTCACTGTTCGCAATGCTATACTTATATCTAAAAGCACTGTTTATCAGTGATAATACACTGATTCTATTTAAAAGAATACCTTCAATAGTTCAGGCTTGTGGATCTAGCCTGATTCCATCCTGGATTTAAAGGAACAATAACTACTCTTTTAACCAGATTCTAAATTTTTCTATAAAAAAAGCCATGCGTAGAACTTACGACAAATAACTGCAGAATGCTCATCCCCGCATTCAATGGCGACGACTGGATCCTTACGTATGAAGAAATGTGACGCAACATTGTCCGCAAATCTGCTACGGCCGATCGTGAAGACTGCCCCAGTCTCTACAATGTACAAAGATCGATACAATCGTTAAATATTGAAGACAAGATGAATCGAGGTTTTCTATCTTCAAAACGAATTTCTTCGATTGACAGATCTTGCATTCAAAGATCTGCGCACTTTGAGAAACAACGAAATTGTACGAATTCCTTTTTATCTAGAATCTCTCTTTTACTCAAAAGTTCAAACTTGAAATTATGCAGTATTTTCGTGGATTATACCCTGCATGTAGCAGAGAATCCGTAAAGACGTTATCATCTGCAGCATGCAAGATTGTAATCGTTGGATGTTATTCTAATACAAAGTTATAAATATACATATTACACAAGGATACATCATCTATATTGCACATAGAACCACTTGTAGCGATCTTTAATCTCTGACTCAAGCAAAAGTATACATAATGACTTTAGACGCAACATGTATAGTAATAGGAAGTATAATTATATAGATAACGGCTTTCTCTCTAAAATATTCCACGCATGTAGCTGTTCATATTTTACCATTATTTTTAGAAAAAAATGGATTGTTATAGAAGATAAACATTGTTGTTTAATTATGCTAATTATAGTAACGAAAGTAAACAGAAATAATTTTTTAAAGAAATTGAACTTAATTATCTTAATCATCTCTCATGGATTTTTCTATTTCTGAGCACCGTTGGTGGTGCATTATGGATATAGCTTGAGTGCAAATTTTATCGTTGCATAACTTTAGCATAAATTAAGTTTAAAGCCAGCGCGAAGAAAAAGAACCGGAAAGTCGTTAAGACACCGAATGACGTTTCAACACGAGATTAACAGCGGCATTTCGGTCTCCCTTCGCGCAAAGGTCAATAACGCAAAACTAGCGATAAATCCTTCGAGATTTACGCTTGCGTCTATCTTATCAAAAGTTCAAATAGCGGCCTTATGCATAATTCATTATGCATCTGTCCTTCGTCGGAAAGCAACGCAAGCTATCCCAATGTGAATTATCTCATTAAAAACTCTTCGTGCGATATATTACATATATGCAAAAAAAATTATAATACTCATTGTCAGAACTACAGATCTCTAGAGCTTTTAAAACTTTTCTTTTCAGATTTTTAATATTTTTTTTTGGATTGTTAAATCCTCGAGTGTTTTCTCAACTTCTCAAATTATTAATTCCCAAATTTCACGATTCTCAAATTGGAGGATTTTTAGTTTCTAAATATCCTTATCTTTTTAAATTTTAACAGATTTTTTTTTTAGATTTATAATTATCTTATATTCTAGATATTTTTTAATTTACAGATCTCTTGAATTATTATTTTTAGTATCTCATAACTTTGGAATTTGTATAAGACAAATCATAAAATACTGAGAAAATGAAACCAAATATATTCGGCTTTGTAGAAGATTAATAGTATCCAAAGTTCGCATATTTTCTAGGGTTGTTGACCCGAAGGTCGGTTAATAGCCACCAAATTGCTCCGCAAAATATATGTACTTACATAATCTGATAGTCGATAGCGATTCTTCGTGCGCACGTGAATAATAATCCAATCATATGTAAAACATTTAAAATGCAAGCGAATCATTTTTGATAAATATTAATATTAAAATACTATCAAAAATGGTGATATGACGAAAGCACCGTAGAAAGACCGTGTTGCGTGCGCAAAAAATATACATCACATAATTGCAAGTATGTGAAAGAGATACAGAATTAATACATTTTACAAAAAAATAAAGATAAATTAATTTATAAGCAATACACACACACACACACACACACACATAAATATGCTTATAACAAATATCGTTGAACAGAAAGGAAATAATATGTGTTTCTCATTTTATATGTATAAAAATTGACGTTCTTTAATTGGTCCCTGTTGTATTACGTCAACTGATGTTTACGGTGTGCACTATTGATATAAACATATAAGTTTATTAAACAAATGAAACGGTGCTCCGAGAAGCTTTTTGTCCCAACTTGCAATAACAACATTTAAGTTAATGATACGAATGCGCATACATGACTCGCATGTGACCACGGTGGCATTAGCCGATTAATGGTCGGATTGTGCTGGTAGCAGCATGCTCCTAAACAATTCACTACTATCCGCTATTCAGTACATTCATAACGTCATGCAGATTAAAGCGCATGTAATCTATCTTACAAATTTATTTTATGAATAAATTACATGCTGTTGATTATTCGGCTAAATAATGTGAGAATATATTTCCGTTTTACAAAGCGTGTATATTATAAGAACGTGCATAATGTAATAAAATATTCGAGCATATTTCTTCAACTTTTGCGAGCCTCTCGCGGCTTAATTGCAATAAACCCATTTGTCATCGAGTGACTGTAAATGACTGTAAATTGTACTTTATGCGCCGTGTGTACGTGCCCCTGATCGTTTGATAACAGCGACAGATATCGATTCTCGTTACTTCACGCGGACAACCGGCACGGCACGAAGCAGGGGTACGTCATGCGGGGGTTTTAATAATGTCGGGGGGAGATGTGCCCGCGCGTCGGTTTCAAGGATCGATCGCTGCCGGCGTTGTACTGGCGATCTAGGATAATTCGCGTTGATCAATTTTATTGCGGTGCGTGACGAATTTATGCGTGCAATATCATCTTTAGGTGCGTGCGTTACACAATCTCTTGTGTTTTCCTTTCGTTTTACCGGGTATGGTCTCTATGTCTGGCAGGCCCATGCTTGTATACCTTGCGCCGCGCAACTTGTAGCCGACTGACCGCCAGGTAAGCGGGCATGCTCGCCGGTGCTGGCGCTTTCGAAGGCGACCACCATGTATCCTAGCAACTGGAAATCAATTTCTAATGGCACAACCGCGTCGCTGTTTTCCTTACAATAAAGAATGGGAGCGATCGGCACGGTTCTCCAGCGTAATCGAAAATGATCGACTTTGCCCACTCTCTCGTTCTCTTTACATTTTTATCACGATAAAAATAGAAAAATCTAATTCTTATATATAAAATATATCTAAGTAATTATACAATTTTAATACATTATTTTATTGTGAAATAGATTAAATAATACAAAAATATTTTATTATAAATATTTTAAGTGTTTTTAAATAAAGCCTGAAATATTATACATATATGCGTTATATTATACGATAATTCAAAATGGATCACTATCGAGGAAATAAAAAATGAACTAGCCATTTGTATTTTGTAAATAATATAAATAGTAAATAATTTATATATAATATAAATAATTCATCAACATATATAAATTATTCATCATTGCATATCGTTGCTTCGTTTGTCGTCCGACGTCTTTCCAAAATTGATCTTTTAGTATTTTCGAGTGAAGCAAGGTTCTGAGAGTGATTAAATCCAATTTTCTATGAACATATGTTCGACCGAAAATGAGTTTTGAATTTGATTAATATAAGTAAGTAGATTCCTAATAATCCAAGACGGTGTTTATGACATCATTAATCGCTCTCAGAGCGATCAAATTTGCTTCACTCGGAAATGCTATTTCTCTCTCTTATTCACTTTTTGCTGTTTTCTCGTGGTACTCATATTCACTCAAAAACAATTAATTATGATTAATCGAATGCATGATAATCGCGAAACTTTGCACAGCATTCCCGATCATGGATCGCACGAGATACGCATTTTATGATATTGTAAAAGAACAACGTAAGAAGTACGATTTATGTGCTCGACATTTACTCAAGATCAAAGTCATGCGTCACAGCTATCTTCTTTATCGTTAAATTATGTATGGTATGCACAATAACACGAATCATAAGATCGAAAGATTAATATATAACAACATATCAGCTCTAAAATTTAGCGAACTATTATAGAAAACGCTATAGAATGTCACTTTCTCTCTTTCTCATATTCGCCCCAATCACTCTTTATTCGCGCATTGCATTATACACATTCGAAATGTAAGTGTAAATAAAAAAACGATCGCTTTTTCATTGGAGGCAAACATATGTGGATGTGTGTGCATCTAGTATTAATGCATAATTCTTGTATGACGATTGCAGTATAATCGCTTTCAATTATATTTTGCTTGTTGACTCAGTTACACTTCGTAATCGTATCATAATAATAATAGTACTCTTTATAATGTTTACACTTTTCTGCTATTACATATCGTAGATACATATTTTTTTTCACGCGTTTATTGCAAACCAAATGCCGTTTCTCTACATGATTCTCTCAGAAGTAATAAAATTTGTATACATACATGAGTATCAGACAACATTTTTCAACATGACTCTAATATAATCTTAAACATATAGAAATAAATTATAATAATATCTCTATGAGTATATCTCTATGAGCTAATGCATAGTGTAAATACTATGTTATGTTTATATATGCATTTGTATATATGTATGTATGTATATATCAATGTGTCATGTATATATATATATATATATACAATTTTAAAGTACAGTATTCTCTTAATGGTTATTCATGATTTTACGAAGTATAATTAAAATGCTTATTCATCCTTTATAATGCGTCTTAATGAAACATCTAGGCAGGTTGTAATCAAAAATTTCGGTTATGTAACAACTGTGTGTGCATTGATGTTTAAAAAAAATTTTACTTATATATGATAGCATAGCGTAATAAAATGCACATGGAAAGTGCTGTAGGGTTTCAATGAAACTTCTACATGCGTCAAGTTTCTCCTAAGTATTCTTATATACTAATAAATTCATCATAACATCTGCTGGTGCTTTACAACAGATTACCTGCAAAATAAACATAAATTGATTAATTTAAAACATTTTTTCTAATTTACAATATTAAAATATTTTTACATTCTTGTACTTACTTATTGTTGTTACTGACTTGTGAAGGCACAAAGTAAATGACTAGAATCAATGCTAGAAGAGTTGCGGGAGTTTGGATAGCCAAGTTTCCGTCTGCAAATATAAAATAAATATATAAAATTATATAACATATAAAATTATTGAAAATATCGAATTTTGCTCCTTAGAGAAATTTTTCATATCTACATGAAAAGGGAAAGTATTGGAGATATTAATTACACGAGTTATTTTAATCAATATTGTATAATATTTTATTTTATCCAGCTATTGTTTTATTATTGGAAATGTATGAATCTTTTATGTATGTAGTTGTTTCAAGAGTAAAAAAAAATAAACATTTTATTGTATATGAAATTAATGTTTTATTACCGACAATGAAAATATTTACTTACCTACAGTATAGCGAGCAGTGAGTTTTTTTCAAAACTTCCATTTCCAAAGCCATCCTCAGTCGTCTCTAACAGTACCTCCTCCGTGCTTTCAGACACGAATCCAAGGAAATTTCTGGCATATTCCATAATCTTATCTGTATATGTCATATGCACTCTGGCAGATAATACGTAGCGCACCTGCTGTACTCAGCTGTAGTCTTTAGTCCGACACATATCGCGCGTCGGTCACGTAGCCTGGTTTTCTATCAATTGCACAATTAGAATGTAATTATTGTCATTGTGATTGTTATAAATTCACGAATTATGCAATAATTAGCGCAACGATTCCTGCGAAATTTGCTGATGGCATAAATACTGGTAAGTATTGTAGAAATTCTTCTAGTATTCTAGTGTCGGTTTTCGTCATGTTTCTAACCTTATTTTACCAAATTACTATACAAACTGTTTCGTACTTTAAATCATATTTTCGCACTTAATTTAGAAACTGTAAGACTAAAAGTTAATAAACTATATATCAAACTATGAGCGAAAGTAAAAGGTATTATATTATTCGCATATTTTGTAAAAATATTCGTATAACATTCTGCATTTATATTTTTTTTGTTTGTATTGTATCTCTTTGTTGTGACAGGTCAATAATAGCTAACAATAAGTAAGGCTGTTTAAGTTAATATTAGTCCTTAGGCACAGGTGTCTGCGCTACATAAATGACATTATTTAGATTTTTACAAAATAAGTCAAAATTTACTTTTTATTTATAATAATTTCTATCTTTCTGTATTGCAGATTTGTTGTTTGGAAGCTGACTTAATGAACTAGTGAAGATGGCTGATATACAATCAGTCACAGAAAACACGGAGGAGAAGTCGGAGAAACAAGATGATCCTATGAAGAACTATGAGTTTGACGGGCAAACTTATATCTATACCGATAAAGCAACAAACATTACCTATAGATTTGATCAGGAAAATAATAAATGGGTGGTAAAGGAAGATGACAAAGTCAACTCCGATAACAAGGAAAGTTCCGATAAAAAGGAAAAGGAAGAAAATTCTGGTCCTGAAGTTAATGCAGCTGGTACTTTTGGCTTTGAGAATGATACGCATACTTATACAGATCCAAATGACGGCAGTGTATACTTCTGGGACAAAGAGAAAAACGCTTGGTTTCCAAAAGTTGATCAGGATTTCATGGCCAGGTATCAAATGAGTTATGGTTTTACGGATACTAGTACGCCGCAGCCAAACCCACCAGAGCCAAACGAGCCTACGTCTCCTCAGAAGGCCAAAGAAGAAAAGGAACAAAGGAAAGCGGAAGCGAAGCGGAAAGCTCAAGAACCGCCGACTTGGTTCGAGGTCGACGAGGCGCATAACACCGCTATTTATGTATCTGGCCTACCTCTGGACATTACCATGGACGAGCTCACAGAACTCTTCACCAAATGCGGCCTCATAGCTAGGGACGAAAGAGGGAAGGACAAAATTAAGCTGTATAAAGACGGCAATGGTGAACCAAAGGGAGATGCTCTCTGTACTTATATCAAGGTAGGAATATATTTTTTTATTTATTTATTATTTATTTATTATTTATTTTTACGAGTTATATGTATGTTATTTAATATGATCCATCCTCGATTTTTTTCTTAATATTACTAACAATATCGCACTACAAGAATTCGTCAATATCAATATTTTATTGTACATCATTAAATACATAGGGGCTATATATATCGATGATCCTATGTTGATATATTTACAAACGAAGCGGTGAAAAAATAACAAACACGTGGATTGAAATATGAAGATGCGAGCATTATTTTGCTTCTTGATTCACTATCTAATCGCATAATTCATTTATAAAAATTATGATTAGCGTAAACGGATATCGTGAGATAATTATTGAATAACAATTCTAGTAGCTTATTTAATTCGTGTAACGCAATCCGTCGCAGATAGCAGTGATAAGAATTGGCAGCTTTAGATTTTTAATCGATACATGAATTATTCACGCATTATAATTAATTAACTGCACAAGACGTTTGGCAAAATAATCGTGAGATAGAGAAAGATAGATATAGAGAGATAATGAATAATTTTTTGTAATAGTATTACGATAAATAAGTATATAGAGAATATTTAGACGAGTGTGTCTTTAATAATATCGAATGCAGTTTGATAAATAATGACCTACATAAATATCGTGTAATCATTACTTATCATTATTTATCCATATATGATTGATTTATTAATCGATCAGTATATTTTTGAAATTTCCACGAATATTCAGGAACGTTAAGGATTCTGTTTCGAGATTAATCTTGGTTGCAATAGTTCTGCAAAATTTATTTTTGCAGTTGGTTGTATATATTGCAGTGGTTGTGTCAGCGTATTGGCAGTTCGATAGTATCATTGTAACAAAAATTTTACATGCAAGTTTTTTTTTTAGTCGCACATACATTATGTAATAGAGTAATAAAGTCAAAGTTGCAGCCATAACTATAATTATCAATAATTTACGTTTCTTCTTTACGGCTTCAACAAAATCTCCTCCCGCGCGAAATCGTTTATTTTATTGTGAAACTGCGAAAAAACATTATTCATGTCCAAATTTTGTGACTGATGGCTATTGAGTCTGCCGCCCAGAAAAGCGCCGTATTCTCGCCCTTGAGGCAATACTTGGGCAACTCTTGGCTCAGCTGGTTGCAAACGGGTTTTATTCGAACGATGTCGCATGCGCTCTCTGGACTGCGTGATCTTGGTACTGTCAAAAAAAATTTGAAAAAATTATTAATTGTAGAAGATCTTAATTACTAGAAATTAGAATTTAAAATTTTTTTTTTTTTTTTTAAATTTTTACATCTTAAAATTTATTTGGAAATATCGAATTATTATACTTGGAAGGTGGCCGCGATCCCAGTTTGACACCATGAGCCCATTGTTCATTCTCTCTTTGGTCCGTCCAATTTTTTCTCCAGTTTGTTCGATTCTTCTTTCTTCCCTCTAGCTTCCTCTGTTCGTTTAAGTATTTCTTACCCTTCTTTCTAGGTTTTAATCTTTGGTTTTGCGGCGCGAAAGGATCCGACTTCTTGCGTCTTCTTGCTGAACAAGGCAAAAAATATCATATTGTTAAAATCATTTATAAACTGTATCGACATTTACATATGACAGCGTTTTCTGCTGAATATGTTTTTCGAGTTTCTCAAAGCATTTCTCACATAAACGACCGGCGGGCACTTCGCATATATAATGCTTCCGTTCGACGCAGCTTCTCGCGCTCCACTTGTATTTCAATGCGGGATCCATTATGATACAATGCCACGCGTACTTCTCAGATTTCCCGGGTTCCATTCTCCCGAAACTCTGGAAAACCATCTTCTCACCCGTCACACCCCATTCCCAGGCCATCTGTTGCCAGTTGAAAATTCCGCCGATCCACCGCTCCAATTTCGCTGTCGAGTTTCGCCAGATTTAGGCGGAGTTGCCCGGCGTTATAGCCAGAGACGAGACGAGAATAGCTTATACTCACTGAACTGATCCCCCATCAAGTACTTTCTCAGCATCCTGTCCTTTCCATTTCTGTCCAGTATAGCCAGGGTGGCATTTCTGTCCTTGCAATGAAAGTACGCGTCCCTCCATGGCGCTGTTCCGGCGCTCAGGTAATAACAGAATCGTTTCAGTCGAAAGAAACCTACGGGACACGCGAATCGTCTCACGTGTTCGTGCTGTCGCACTGTTCTCGATTGATTAGTCGTCAAGGAATTAACACTAAAGTTTGACAAGTCCAAAACAGCCGAGGATAAGCCTGGAAAGGAAAGTCAGATATGTTAGTTTTATCGCATTGCAATAGGGACAAATTGATGAATTTTATTGATGAATTAAATTGATAAATTTTTAAATATCTTATAACAAGTAAAAAATTTTAGAGGAATGGAAAATTCAGATTATTCCGATATTTTTCGCTCATTAAACTCGTTCTTTCAGTATCAATAATTTCCAGCAGTTGGGCGTTTGGCAGGAATTTCTGGTTCTGATAAATCTCGATATTTTAAAATCCATAATTTCCTCTTTTAGTGATATAATTTATGCGCATACTTGATGCGCGTTTCGTTCCGAATGAATACATTTTTGTTGCATGGCCTTGAACGGAATTTAAGCATTATGTAATGTCGTCTGTAGTTCATGCGTGACTAGGCGCCACATCATTGCATAGCTAAGATATCGAGCATTGAATTATCGGATATTGTCTCTTAAAATAGATTCTTTCCCCATCTCTCGTATGATAACAAATTTGCAATGTTTTCAAGCTTATCGTTAGAATGTAAATATCATATTTTGATGGAACGCCTGTTTGTGATCGTAGTCTAATCTACTTAAATAAACATGTATTAAATCATAGTTTTATCTTTCTCTGTACTCACATATTCCCTCCTTAAATATATGTTTATATAGTTTTATAGATCTTATTTATCTAGAAAGAGAAAAAACACAACACAGAGAAAGTCATCATCGACTCGTTTTCGAGGGAGGGAGAAACAAATTTTTGTTCATTATAATTTTACATAATCTGCCTGCGGAGGATTAGGTAATTCTATCGATTGAAACTTTTTAGGGCGTGACAACTCCTTCGGGTGGAACCGGTAAAGATAAAGCAATTTTTATGACAGCACCATACTGTATGCGCACACATACAATAGGTATTCATATTTTAACTACCAGTTTAAGACGCCAGTTAATGAGTATCTCATAATATATAAATGATTCAACGCATTTTAAAGATTGTGCAATGTTCGAAAAAATGTTGAAAAAATAAGGAACTTACGTATTAAAGATTTTGTAGAAGATCATAGAAGAATTTGTCTGACATGTATCGACATTTATTATAAATTAGTATAGCTGTTACGAAAGTAACAGGCAGCGCAGCAGACACATATTGACAATGATTGCCATACATATCCAATTAATTACTCAAAAAGCCATCTCTATGAATCATTGTTGCATAGAAGAACCTCGTGGCACGCACACGATCATAAATTTCATTTATGATACACAATTAGTATCGTATGACTATTAATGAATACCAGAGATTTAACTTTTATATGGGAGGCCCGCAGGCTTCTAGTATAGAAAATACATTCTTGTTCGCACGACAATTACGCGCGATAGAACCGATTATTATATTTATTATATTTCATCGTAGCACGTAATCAATTCATAGCAATGTCTCTAATGGACAATGTGATGAGATAAACGAATTGAACTAAAAAATTTAAAAAGACTTTATTATAAAATAATGCAACTCTAATCGAAATAACGTAACCGTCTTAATATCATAATATTAGTTTTGAGCTCTATGATAAACGACATGAAATTAATAAATCGGACAGCAAGTTTAGCCGGTTTTTTTTTTTTTTTTTTTAAATTATCTTTGCATGAGCATAAAAAGGAATAATGACATGACGATAAGATGAAATATAGAAAAATAGTGAACTAAAATTGCGTTTTATTCCAGTTCGAATGTGTGATGTAACGTTTTTTTTTTCTTATTATGTTGCCATTTTATGCATTTTACTTTGACAGGATCATTATTCAAATGCTAGTAGGAAGCATAAAGAACACATGCCGCTTTATGCCTTTATGCTAAATACGGTTTATATTTGTATTACGTAGCACTCTCTAAATGGACATTTAATTACTATTCGCGGAATTTTGATTTTAAGCTACGATAAATATGTACAAGTAGATCGCAGATTTAAATGGCTCAAATTTAAATGGATCAGATCAACTTAATCGGTTAGTTAGTACTCGGAATACATGTTAAAGTGTAGTGATTTTACTCAGAATCTCTTCGGGCATTCAAATAAACATTTACATAACAGAATCATGCGAGAACTAGTTTCTACGAATAATAAAAACCAGTAGCTGCCGACCACAATTTCACGCCTCTTAATTACATGCGATCGATTTTATGATAGTTAGGTATCAGCTCAAAGTAATACTATGCACATATCAATCTTCCTCTGAAATAATTATAACTGAGCGCAAAACAAACTTCAATCGTAGAAATAAAACTAACTTAGGAATTCAAAAATTGCCTTTGTTAAAAAAATAACTCTGTCTGCAAAACTACTACGAAATTATAAAATGTTTTTGTTGAAATTTTTTTTTTTACGTGCCGTTGCTTTCAACCGCACCTGAATTTACGAACTATGTTAGAGTTTGTTGCAGCTTTGGATAGCGCGATATACGACTTGCTTTAAAATGCGAGACATAACAAACGAGATGGCCAGCGCGTATGATGCATATTTCATTTTGACTCGAAATTCTCAGGTTCCGAGAGGCCATACCTAAATCTTTAATGCGGAAATTCACCCAGTTTCTTAGTTTTCAAATATACAAAGTACTACTTTATACGAATATTGATAATAAAAAAATAGATCTCCTACAATGTTTCGCATATTTAAAAATTTTAAAATCGATGAGTCATAGAGCTTTAATTCTTCGAGTGTCACATTTATGAGTGTCAGAGAATGGGAATAATAAATTATTTTTTCATGTCAAGTTCGTACATACGTATCTTCTTTGTGTAATCATTTAATCGTATGCGTTTTCTTATCACAGGTGTGCAAACTGTTGTCTGATACTGAAATACCTCTTTACACTAACAGCAGAAAATATCGTATATAGCGACTACTTATTCACTTAAATATTCAGTCACGCATGAAGTCACGCAAAATTTAGTTTTTTCCATTTCTAGAAGCATAAGTAGGCAATTATAGATAATTATTAATATTAAATTCCCATGTTTATTATTTCCATTTAAGAAGATTGTAAAAAAATATAAAAAGATACATAAATATATAGTTTTGCTTATTGAAGCGATATTTTCTCGGGTATACAAATATTGTCGCATACCTATCTAGGAATCGTGCTGCAAAACATGTAGTCAATGAATTTGCATAAATATTTGATGTCCGCTAAAGTTAATTAAGGTCGTTGCTAATTAAAATCGAAACTATGAAGTTAATAAGTTTACTTCACTTATGTAGCGTCGTTTGGTCATGATATACGCTTCAAAGAAAAGTCATCCGATATTTTCAAGCTCGTCTAATCAACTGATATCGATAGACATGACAAGGATATTATATCTATGGAATATGTCTACCCACAACTTGCACTTTCATTCATTTATGGGACAAGGCTAACCTCGATGGCTTGGATGAACATTCTTCTCATATTTCCAGAATTTACCGCCACTTTCGCGAACAAGTGGTGGTATTAGTAATTGGTCAATTAACCTTTAATGTATATATATATAATTTAGGTCAAAAGGTCACGTAATGACTGCAATCGCTCAATTGTAATTAGCAATCATTAAATAATTTTTATCAATGAAAGAAAATTTTATCAAATAATATTGAGACATTTTTTACAACATGACAACTGCATTGTTGACTTTACTTCTAAGTTTCTTTTCGATAGTCGCAAGCAAATTTACGATTGTTGCGATCGAAGCTATTTTCGACGCAGATCCGATTTGATGGTATTGTTTCGTTGGTATCATTCTCGCCAGATCCGATCTCGCGAAAATAGATTGCTACGTCTGTTCTCGGAAACTGCCCGTCATCTTCGATCGTTAATTTATTTGCGGTTTCCATTAGAAAATGCTTGGTAAAATATGCGCGTCCCGAAACTGTCCGTCCAACGTACTCGTTCCACTTGTAGACTGGTTAATCTTATATGCAGAAATTTCACGTGAGTCCGATATAAAGTATGCATCTCGCAACGTGCATCCCTTTTAAGGTTTGCTTCGAGATTTTTATTAAATTTTTTCAAGGCATATTAAAATCAGCTGCCTTGGTAAAAACATATGTATTTAAATTAAAGGAAAATAAAATATAAAAAGATAAAAGAACATAAAAGATAAAATATAATGATAAAATGACAGAATTTATAATTAGGATAATTCTTGCAGGAAAAAAAATGTTATATAATTTTTCTTAAAGATATAGATTATCGATATAATTCTATACAACAGATTTCATACGAATTAATTATCTGTACTGATACCTGCCATTGTTTAACACATCAGAACTTGATAGACACTTATCAATTACGGTCATCACGGTACTATTACGCAATTTCAAAAATCATGTAGGTAATTATAGGTTGCGTTATCGTAACTCTCAGTGTTGCTATTAGGCTGCCAATTAGCAAAGTGCGTAACTGCTAATAGATACAGCAACCAAGTCAGCTGTGTCTCAGCATCGAAAGATATCATGTCACGATTACATTCTACATCATATAAATTACTTTAAATATCATCAAGATTTTACTGGCATTTAGCTTTTAAGTTCGCAAAGACTGGAATTTCGCTTTCTTATCAATATATATTAATTAATAAATAAATAACGCGCACGTCAACAAGTTGCAGAAATTGAATTTTATAAAATTATAATAGATATAAAATTGATTCAGATATTCCGCTTGCTTTAATAGAATGATTTTAATTGATGTTATCTATATTTTCGCGGTCAACAGAGAATTGCATTTGGCATTTTAATGCATACACGCATCAATATTAAATGCCGGGTTAAATATTGATCAATTATACAATAATACTGAATTACATATTATTTTATCGCAAAATTTCGATGCAATTGATCCTTGTTTATATTGACATCTATCAATCATCGTATAAAAAAAAATTGCCATATTTTTTCTGCGTTGCTTTATACAATATTTTATTCCGTAAATTTTTAATTACGATTATTTGGATCTCAGAAATTAATCATCATCTTTTTTTACTACTTATCTCCTTGAATTAATCGCTTCCTAGAATCTCGGCGTGTTCACCCACTCATTCATGCTTTCGCGCGTATCTCGCTATTAACACCTCAGACTCTCATTAAGATCATCCGCGATTTGCTTAAATCCACATCGCGCACTTTAAGCGATTAATTACCTGCGAAGCACAGAAACAGGATCCAACACTTCCACATGTCTACTACACAGGTCGCTTACTCGTCGAAGTACTCGATACGAAGGTCGCGATAAGCGCGCAGGATCGTCCTCATTCTCGTTCCTTGAATCTCGCCTCGCTTCCGATTTCGCGTATTGTCATAATGACACGTGTTCGCGAATTCGCGCGACGAGAAAAAAAGAAAAAGAGAAGAAAATCGACCGCTTCGCTTTTACACCCCTCGACTGGTTTCTCTAAAGATCATACAGACCGTATCAATAGGGTGTCCGGACTACGCCGATCGTGGAGACCGTTCTTCGACGGAGGTTCGCGCCCGACTGAAGCCGACGCTTCCATTCCGCTCGGCGCGTACCTTCGCGCGCTCCTCGAGCTTACGAGAGGAATTCTCTCGCGCTTCCCCTAACGCCCAGATGTTTCCGCGATCATTTTCTGAATCCAAGGAGCCATAGATCCGCCGTAGCGAGAATCTGTCTAGCTTACTCCGATTTCTATTTGAATAAACGCGAATGCGCTTCACGCGGTTATACACGCACGCATTCGCGGAGATACATCATGCGGACTATATGACAAATACATTTTCTGCATGCTTATTTTACGAAGAACCCATATAACGTTCCCGCGAAGAGATTTTTCATAGACAACGTTGCAACTTTCTGTCTTTAACGTTTTATGTAAAAATGTTACAATTAGAACGGTACGAATTTTTAAGTCTGCATTCCTTCAATATCTGACGTTTGCTTTGATATTTAAGGTGATTTCGAAATAGTAGAGTTTATCATTGCATGTGGCATATGCAAACGCGTATACAATTTAATGATTTCTGTTCACGTTTTGCATAACGCCACCAATCGTCGTCATTCGGACTCAAGGATATACGAACTTAACAAGCATAGAACGTGCGTTAATTGCGCGCGATTGTTATAGGAATTGTTGAACAAACATTGCGTAACTACGTCAACAACACGCGAAATGTTTGAGGAACTACACGTAAACAAAGCTAAAGTGTCTTTGCACTTGGCACTTAATATTATTATCATAAAACAGGGTTAAAATATATCAGCATCAATAACTATGCGTCAGAATGTGCGAGATAAGGGATCACCCAGTATCGAGAAAATTTAAGCCGGAATTTCGTGAATGTTTATCGATACTAGAGGAGAGAGTAAAAGATTATTTTCTTTTTTCGAGGTAAAAACATCATATAAAATATAAAACAACACAAACTTAATGTAAAAACAAAAACAAGTAAGAAATAATATATGTAAAAGCGGTCGTTATTATTTACGATGATAATAACTTGGAATTAATAGAGAATTAATCAAGTTATATATGAAGAAATTATTCGGCGATAACTTTACTCATTTTATTGATTTTTAATATTAACGCTTAATCATTGGATAATGTTTAGATGAATGTTTATTTATTACTGATTATTATTAATTAATAATGTAAGAATGTGATAGACAAATTTTATATTTATATATATAATTAACAATATATGTTTATAAGACAGTATCAAAGCGCGACGACCTCAAATTGAACCTACCTTTAAAATATCATCGCGCTAGCAGACCAGCGTTTTCGTTTAATGGCAGGCTGCCAATTGGGTGCATTAACGTCTATCTGTCCGATAGTATCTTTTAGGGAGTTAATGTCTAAATGTCTAAATCGAATTGATTAAAATGTAGTAGCAGAGAGATAACAGGAAATGTTAGCACATAAACAAGTCCGAGATATCTAGGAAGTAGGAACGTAATTTGCTACCGTCGGAATCAGATTTCGCGAATCTTACGTTTTAATAATTCCTACTTACTTATCACTTGCAGAAACGTGGCAAGATAATAACACGGGAAAAGTATGTCAACGACAGCTACAAAGAGATAGAGAGAGAGAGAGATTAAGAACGAAACGGAGAAGAAATACAATGCACGCGTAGAAAATATGAAATGCACTCTGAAAATTCGACTATTATATTACGTGAATTAAAAATGCCATCTCTACGATATTTCATTTAATATCTCTGAAAATACACCGATATACTTATTTGTGATAATTATTATGCATGATTTCTGCTCGTATTCGCTATCGCGGTTGCATAAAATATATCGCATTTTAAATATATCTACGCTTCTCTTCTTTTTACCATAGGAAGCTATTTTCACACACACATATATCTATACATTTATCGTGCACGCAAATGTATAAATGGCGACATTGCATTCTTGTGATTTGCGCAGAAATCACATTCTTGTAATTTCTTGTGCTAAAAGTATTGCGTTTAAAATAATCTATGACTTTTAAATATTGTCCGTGCAAACTATCTATACACCTAAATATTGCACATTTCATGTTGGAATGTTTTATATGCTTCAAAGAGTGAAAGACAGAAGCGTGATTTTTTATTTGATTTTTTATTACCTATAAACACAGGCTCTACGTTTGGGTGATGGCGTGGTCGAGGTTACGTTCAAACTACTATGACGGCGATTCATTTGTGCATTCCTGATGCTTTGAAAGGTACACTGGGAATGCTGCAATTCGCGGAATTGCAATTTGGGATGGGTTGACGACTGCGTGCCTGAAATCACAACGGAGCGATTGACAGATTCAAATAATTCTAGATATTGCGTCAGGCATTATGGAGATGTAGATGCAGTGGTCATGTTTATGGCTTGAGGATCATCATCACCATATATGATTACGTCAGTATAATGTGACGTCAAGTCAATCATTTTCAAGTGTTAGCTCACATTTTCAAGCTTGTATAGCCTTATTAGTATACAGAAAAAATTTCATGAGCTTCCGTACACTTGAGAGAGAATTAATCCCACTTCAGTATAAGTTCTTTAATAATGGAGAACAAATATTTTTTTAGAATAGAATAAATATAGTTTATTTTCTTTACAAATTGATTTTTAACATTTTAGGCTTGTAATATTTCAAATTCAATTTAATAGTACAAATAAAAAGGCAATTCTGTTCGAGAAATGCATTAAATCTTTATATTAGGCAGGACCGTGCGTACTTTCAACGCACGTTACGTGTGTTTCTAAATTTCTCTCACAAACATACAGAAATATACATTAGAAAAGTTAAATTCTGTAAAAAAATAAATCAACGATAGAGCTGAAAAATTTGGCATCCTTCCAAAATTAAGTTTAACTATGATACAGTCATACCGCGCAGACATCAAAGCATTGCCATTTGCCACTGCAATCGAAACGTCGGAAGAACTTGATCTTCCTGAGACTGTCTGACTATAAATTTACAAGAGGGCACGTTCTTCCACGTGCAGTCGCCGCGAAAGGAAGCGATCGGCTCTTTCGAAGCAACAGGAAGGTCAGGTACATCATTACAACTGCGACTGCAGGTGACACATCGGATATGTTAGCCGAATATTTGTAAACATATCGATTTCTTTATTTGCTGCTGAAAGAGTTAAGTAATCTTTCACTCGTCGGCCGTGTAATCGTCAAAAGGCCAAGGAAAAAAATCGGCGTAATAGATGTCTCGCTCTCGGCGACTCTCATATTCATTCACGACCGGTTCTTTTCTATTTTATTTTTTTTTGCCGCGGGAAAAAATCCGCAATTTGCGAAGCCGTAATTTCCGGCAATGTCGTTAGTTAGATACCGAAGTGTCGACAGTTTCCTAATTGTGCCGTCGGCGAGGAACGGCTCATCGTCTCTCCTTTGCGGCATAAAAACGACGAGAAACACAAAACGGCGATTTTTACGATCCCATACGCGCTCGCACACACTTCGGACTTTATGGAATTCCGGAAACCGGTTTTGCAAAATGTGCCGCGCATATATCCGCTCGCGATGCGCGGTGTCGTCTCTTAGGAGAGACACTGCGCCTAATATGGGGAGGGTTTTATCGCGGAGTCTCTACGGTTTAAAAGAACAATCGTACAAAATGGCGAAAGGATACATCACTCTTCGTAAATCAGAAGATATATTTACTGAATGAATTTGACCGCCAGAACTTGCAAAGGCAGTCCAGAACCATTCCATATGACATTTTGAAGAGACAGAAATTAAACGAACGCGAGATTAATGAAGATTTAGTATCTGCACGAATATACATATAAATAGTCATTTTTAATAAAACGCAGCAATATGTTCTAAACATTATTAGAAGATATCATTTTATTCTAATTTGAGAGCGTCCCTTGATGAATAAAATTTTACTAATAGTTCGGGAGATATCTTACAACTTCCCTCGTCGTTTATCTACAAAGTGAAATGCATCCCGAAATATGCTTCTCAAGAGAAACCGGAGCTGCCTGGTACCACTTGAGATATCGCGCTGCACGACACAACGATGTACAATATTATCTAAAAGGTAAAATAAAAATCTTAATGAATGTTGCATCTGTAAAGGAAAGAGACTTTATCGATCTTGAATTGCATTTTATTGCGTTTACTTGTCAACTTTATACTATTTAAATTTGCTCCAATATAAAAGCCATGGAGTTTCATATAATAACAATTTTTTCTTATAACTTTTTAAGTCGAAAGAACTTTTTGATTGGCATCGTAATCCCGAGGCAAATTGGGCTATAAAAATTCGGACCGCGTTTCGCGCGATGATACGTTCGGTTGGGCCGCGACTGTAAATGACGCCACAATGTAATGAAACTTGCATGCGTGATCATCGAGTGCAATTGTCTGACTCATCTCTGGTATTTTGCGCGATGCAAATAAATGGAACAACCGCGATCTTAAATGCCAATAGCGTAGGCGTAGCGCCAATCATTCTGATGATAATTCACTTTGATCCCTCAGTTGAGTCAACGTGACGCACGATATATATGCATATATACAGATGTTCCCGTCATTTACGCTTTAAATCAACGCGATGTCAATAGCATTGTTCGACGCGTCTTATCATTTATTCCTCATTTCTTCTTCATTCAAAAATGACAAGATATATTAAGAAGATGACAGGATGTGTCGCGCTGGGGGTTTTACAATGTCACTTCGAGAGATTTCTACTGTCTAGTTGAGACAGGATTTAAAATAATCTTCAATCGTTGTCGGAAAATTTTTTTCCATTGACAGGCTCTTCCG